GTAATTGTTTCACCTGTTAGGTCTTGTCTCCCAATAAAACCAAGGATAAGAACTTCCTTATACTTCTTTCCTAAACCCAATGAACACAAATTGTGCTATATAGAAGAGGTACATATCTCAATGACACTTTCAAGACGAGCAGGGCTGAGTCTACATAACTTAAAAAAAATTGTTCGCATATGCATCAGGCACTTTATTACCCATTTAAAATAAGCTGTATGGTAATTCTCTTCCCTTTCCAATGTGTGTATTGGCTCCTTTCAGGTAAGTGTATCTTCTTCCCATTTACTACTTCAGTATTGTCCACAGTATGGAAGAAAAATGTGAATCATGATAGCCTACTGATATTGAGTATCTGACATTCAACTAAACTCTAACTTATTTTGAACACACAATTAATTACTTAGCTCATTTTAGAACTATGTTAAAAAAAGAATATTCCTCTCTGAATTTATTCAATGTATTTTAAATATTGTAAAATATCCTATAAACTATGGATGTCTCATTCATTCAGTAGTTTTTTAAAATTAAAATCCACCAATGATCAATATACTTCATATAAACATTTGGAAATAAATAATTTCTAGACTAATTTACTGAATAACTTAAATGACATTCTACAAAAGGTAGAACTTAGAAAAATAGCAATGTGTTCAGAAATCCCAATTTGTGTAACTTGGTAAAAAGTGCAAATGGAACAAGATTTTGATGAAAATATGAAAAATCGTTCAAAGTTTAACATAACCCCTAAATGGCTCTTGGATTTATATTAGAAAAGTGCATTCAATTTAAACAAAAATAAAGTAAAACAAGTGACCCCATTTACACAGGTTTATCATTCTTACATTCAAGCTTTTCCATATTATTATTGCCAAAGAGTTTTCTTAAACTTTAATGTTTTTAGTAAAAGTACCTCAATTAGAAAAAAAATATATAGTCCAGTAGTGTATTATTTGAATGTTGATTAATTACAGAAAACATTTTCCTAATAGCACAATTTTTTTTTAATTAAGATTTTTTTCCCTCCAACACTTTAATTTTCTAGTGGCGTAACATTACAAACAAAACCATGTCCCAAAGTTTCTAAATACCACTGTGTATTTTTGGACTAATGCTGGGGGGACTATTTTATATACCAACCTCTGCCATAATGTGTTCTTTCCAATAGTTAACAATAGCCAAAAGATCTTGAAAACAATCTGAGAAGAATCCATATTATAACTAGTTTGTAGGGAGTCACATGTAAAACCACAGTTCCTGAGAATTTTATATTCATACAGATAGGGAAAAAAAATTCACAAAATTTTAGTATTTCTTTCCCCACAAACAAGCAAGCAAACAAAAAATCTCGTAAGTGGCTATCTGGCAAAATTCAGGGCAAAGGGAGAGAAACCATCTGTCTTGCTGACTTAGAAATTAAATTTAATTTAATGTGCTATACCTTAAAATGTCTAAGGTATAGGAAACATCTTCAAGTGTTCAAAACAGGACAAATGTTTAATTTGATTCTCCATTAGGAAGGACACATAATATTTTCTAAGTAGAGGAAAAAAACCCCCTAAATCATTTAGTTTAAATAAATATTGAAAACTAAAAAATATTTCAAAGAACTGATGAAGAATATATTGCATACACAAAACAATTGTTTAACAGTAAGACTTTTACTAATTATGCATTATGCAACAGACATAGTTTCATTCTTCCAACAGGAAGTATTTGTTTCTGGGTATTGAAATTTTCATTGGCCTTAAAGAAAGTAGGCATCGATGATGTAAATATGTTAACATAATTTATCTTTTCCTTCAAAAATCTCTGCCATATTCACTTTACATACCACACACACAAAAATAAAACTGAAAATAATCCAAATGTCTAACAATAGGTATATACATCAGAATACTGTACAGTGGCTTTTCATTTTTAAAAAACACACAACTAGATCTACATTATTAACATGAACAAATCTCCAAAATAACGTTGAGTGAAAAATGAAAGTTGCAGAATACATGTAAGAGTACGAGGTCAATTGTATCAGTTTAAAAACACACAAAAGACTACATATTATTCATGGATACATACATATGCAGAAAAGGTATAAAAGCATGTACAGAAATAATACACATCAACTTCAGAATAGTGGTTACCTACAGGGAAGATAGAGAATGGATAGAATGAGATGGGTACAAAGGGGGCTTTAACTCTACCCACAAAGTTGAAAATTACAAAAAGATTTGAAACAAATATGGTATGTTAACATTGTTCAATCTGGTGGTGTTACACAGAAACTCATTGTATTATTCTCTATACTTTTCAATTTTGAAATCTTTCATAATGAAAATAAAAACATTCACAGAATAAAGAAAAAGTTGAATCACCGCTGCCATTTCCAGAATAAATAATTTGGTATGCTAAAACACAACACAGGCTTTCTTTTCCCAAATAAGACAATAAATATTAACAGAAAACATTATATAATTGACAATGTACACTTTTGTAAAGAATCACTGATTATTATATTAAAAAATACAATTAAAGAACAGGATTTCAATGCTTCTACTTCAAAACTCTACCTTTGCTTGAGTTAGAGGATCTAATTTCACACCACAAACAGGCTTTCCTTGCTTTAGAGAGTACCCCTTCGAATTTTCTTGTATGCCACTTCCTTTAAATGTGGTTGAGAATAAAAGGCTTAGTGTACAACAGGGTATAGCAGAGACCTAGCTACCTGTAAGTTAAATAAGACTAATGAATACATTGTATTCTCATATAAACTAACAGTGGCTCAATTCAAAGATAATAAGTTATTTCCAGTACATAAACTTTCACTTTTCAGTTTGAAACTTTTAACCTGTAAGGGAAATATATATGGTCTGTTACTTTGTTTACCAAACATTTTTTTTCTTGTCAGGAAAGCTTTCCCATCTTTGTCAGATTAATACTTCCTTGATCACAGATGAAGTCTTTCAAATTAAAGATAAACAACTACTTGCCTGTTGTTTCTGATATGCAGTGTTTGGATTTATCTTTGATTCCAAGAGTAGTGATCCTGAAAGATAAAAAAAAATAATAACATGTATAAGTTTCAATTTATAAAACCTGAATAAAAAATCAGAGTCCACATTAAAAAAAAAAATCATTGCATGTTCCCTTCACTCAGCTAGATATCTGAAGTATTCACATTTTTCTCTCCAGATCCGAACTTCATATTTAATTTAGAACATATCATCCTATTCCAAGAAACCCTTAAATGGGGGGGGGGATCCACCTAAGATAAACATTCAGACCAAGAATATAAGGATGTAATACTTTAAAACAATAACGAATTTAAATAAACAAATAAATAAAAGACTATAAGGAGACTTGATGACTATTAAAGTTTTATTGAAATGAAATTTTAAGGTCTAAATGACCACTTGAAGCCAAACTCTTTTTTAACAGTTATTTTATTGCATTTCCAGTTTAACAAAATAAAACAAATTACAAAGGACCACAACAAATACACAAATTACAGAACTGCTTTTCTCCTTTTCTCCTTAAGAACAAAAAGGACACTGCATGTAGACATAAACGCCCATGACTATTTTTAAAGGAAACGTACAAGCGTACAAAATACATCACGAAGCAATCTAAGGTAGTTTATGCTCCCACTGTCTGCACATAGTTCCAGATTACAACGAGAAAGGCGTTTTAACTACGACCGTACATTTCATGATTTAGGAACCCTTGCCCCAGGACTCGTATACAATAAATAAATAAGTCCACGAATAACGTGTGCACTGTCTGCTTTGGCGCCCCGACTGGTTGAGGGGGGGGGGCAAGAATCCACAGACACCCCCCCGAGGCCGCCCGCAGGGACCCCGCCGGGAGGCGTCTGTGCTCGCGCGCGTGCACCGTGGCCACAGCCGGCCGTGACCCCGGCTTTCACAGGTGCCTTCAGGTTTCCCCCAGCACCTGCCGACTGTGGCAACGGGGGGCTCGGTGGGAACATCCGCTCAAGAACAAAGACTCGGAAAGGAAAGTTCCGCTGAACCTTTGGTATCAGACACAGACTAGATAACAACGGAGACAGGAGGGAGCAGGGGCTCCCCAACGAGGAGCGATCAACACCCCGTGAGCTTCCTGCCCTCTCCTCTCTCCAAAAGCAGAGACCGGAGAGGAAGGGGTCAAGTCCTTAACCGGGACAGGAGGCGGGGGAACAGCGCACAGGCGTCGGACTGAGGGTGAATCCGGACAAAGTCGTTTGTTTTTACCGGACAGAAGTGCGGAAACAAAACCCAGGCTCTGTGTCCCAGGCGGCAGTCCCAGCACCCCGCCTCCGGCCTCCCCCGCAGGCGTGTGCCTAACCGGAGAGCACCCCCCCCCCCCCAGCCTACCGTCCCAAAAACCTTACCGTCGGACTCCGCCCGAACCAGCAGCGACATCCCCTTGAGCTCCTCCACGTAAGTGGACGAGACGTGCCCGGTGCCTCGGTCGTCCCATTGCCGGTCTTCATTCAGGGTATAGACCTTCACTCGCCGCCGCGTGTCCGACATCGTGGCCGCTGTCCCCACCGGTCCAGACGCCGCCTCCACGTCCCCCTCGTCCTCGCCCCTCACTCTTGAGAAACGGTAGCGGCGGCGGCGGCGGCTCCGGAGAGGCCCAAGTTCACCATGGCTCTCAAGGTTCAGCCGCGGAAAGGGGCAACAAGAGCCACCGGGACCTCTCGGCCGGAGCCCCGGTACCTCTCACTGCACCCACACACACACCCACCCTCCCCTCCCTTTGCCCCCCAGAGCTCGCTCGCTCTCCCGCCGCCGCCGCGGTAAGCACTACACATCCGCCATCTTGTAACCCGATTCTCTGCCTTTCTCTTCCTCCTCCAGCAGGCTCGCACGGGCTGTCCTAGCAGGGGCTACGGCGGCCGACGAGGCCAACGCACCGCCGCTCAGCTTCTGCTCGCGCTTCCAGGGCCAGCAGCACTCGGCGTTCTCGCGAGGCGGGGTGCTGAACCGAGGTGGGCGGGCCTGAGTGCGCGTTCTTCCTTTCTTGGCCACGCCTGCTGGCGCGCGATCTCGGCCGAGGTAGTGGTTCTCGCGATATCCTCGCCCCCTGCTGGTGACGCGAGACTTTCTGAGTAGGCGGGGAGGACTGAGTCTTGGTCTCGCTTCGCCTGTTTTGCACCCGGCGTGTGACGAGTCGTGCGACCCATCTCCGAGGAAAAGCAAAACAAACATGGGAGGTACGCATCCTTGGACGGGACTAACCCTGAGCAAAAAGGAAGGAGATGTGCTCGCACTCCGTAGTGGAAGCTCCCTCTGTCAGCTCTGGGAGGAAAATAGTTGAAACTTCTTTCTGTGAAAATGTAGGAACGCGGAGTATTTTCAGGCAATCTGAAAACCAGATTGGAGTCTGTTACAATTAAGCATCTCCTCAGGAAGTGTTTGTTCTCTGCATCTCCTGAGGATTATAACATCGTACCGAAAAAAGAAAAAAGTGTTGACATTTTCCTATTTCCCGCCAAAGCGTTTCGCCGTTAACTTTGGTAGCTGGCCATTGGGAAGCATACTTTCCGCTTCATGAAAATACAGACCCCTTATGGTGGTGTAACCTCAGAAAATGAGCCTTACTAGTAAGATAAGTTTAAGGAACTGGTTGAGAGCCCCCTTTCTAACACATCCAAGAGCATTGTTTTGGCGTTTTAAAAAAGTGTCTCTTGTGGGCATTTCTTGCGCTACGTATCGGGGTGTCTTGTGCACTGAATAAGCGGAGGAGGAATTCCCGGGGCAATTCACGTTAGTTGTCAAACATTGGTGGCGACAAGACGTGCACTGCGCAGTTGTTTATTTTAATCCCAGTTCGTTCTTGGTAGAATCCTTTTATTCCTTCTTTAAGACAGTTTCGGCTTGTTCCGCCGTCAGTTCTCTGCAATCCATTAGTTTGAAAGGTGAAAATCAGGCAGGCGAGATGCACGTGTTGACCCTGCAGGGCATTCTGGGAATTGTAGTCATTACTTAATGGTCTTGTCAAAACGTGCTTTTGTTTTGACTAGCTCCTCTGTGTGGACACCCTTCCGCGGTACTTTAAAACGAGAGACAGTGTTTTACACAGAGCAGGCGCCTGATAAAAAATAAATCCTACTATCAAAATCTGAATACACAGGGTTGTTTTTTAAATTTAAAGAGGACCTCGGAACCCATTCATTGCTATGATTGATATGGAAAAAAGGCATTTTGAACTCCGAGAAAACATTTCTGTCGTGGGTCAGAGCAAGCTTCACATAGATAACTTTGAGCCTGATGTTGGAGGATCCCTGAGTGGGAGTTTAGTTTGCAAAGGTGTTCAAGGCTGAGGGGATAGGGCAAACAAAGTGATAATGTGTTACTGGCCTAAAATAACATATAAACTTATATATGTCAAAGGAATGAGAACTATACAGAAGTCACTTTATGTGTTAAGAGGTTAATAGCCTCTGGGCAAAATTGGGAAATAATATGAATCATTTTCTGAATTTATTCAGTCATTCAATAAATATTTGTTGAGCATATGCTATACAGTAGACATTGGTGAATAAAATAGAAAAAGCTCTTTTCTTGGAGCTTATATTCTAGTATAAGAAGACAAACAAATATATGCCAGGTACTGATAAACATTATGACCAAAAATAGAGTAACAAAAAGGTTAGAGAGTGAATTTGGGACTTCTTGTTTATTCAGGAAGTCCTCTGAGGAAGGGGCAATTGGGCCAAACTTTCCCCCAGGGCAAGAGAGAGAGATCCAGGAACCTGGAAGCAAGTACAAAGGCCTTATGGCTGTTGCATGTTGAAGAAGTGAGTGGGATAGCAAGGAAACCAGTGTGACTGAAGTGGTGCAGAAAAGGGGGAAAATGGTGAAAAATAAGGTTGGAATTGGGACAGGGGATATTTTGAAGGGCCTTGGATTTTACTTTGAATGAGTTGCAAATCTATTGGAGAGTTTTGAAGTTATGTTTCAAAGCAACTCTCCCATCTTCTCTTCAGAATTTCTTTTCTGCTATAGCCCCTGAGATCTGGTGACTGAGAAATAAAGGAGCAGATTAAACCCCTAGGACTCATCCCTATGCCTTACTAGATCCTCAAGTACAAGTACTGCAGTGGGTCAGAGGGATTCACTCTCACCTACTGCAGTAGGCCCACCTAACATTTGTAGAGATGGACATTTGCAAGGCCAGGGCAAGTATACAAATGGAAGACCGTATACCATAAGTCTAAATATTTGTAAGTTTTAAATCAAGCTAACTGTTGAAATATATTTTCTCCAACCTTTGGTATACTTTGACAAATATATTTTCATAATGACCTGGAAGCCAGAGTCAAATCTAGAATTCTTGATTTCCTTAAGTTCCAGAGTCTCCCTCTGGGCCCGTATAGTCTGCCTTCCTTCTCTTCTCACACCTCAGCTCTGTCCTGCAGTTTGACAGTCCTTAGTTGCACACAGAGGATACACCAGCCTATTGCCCAAGCTCTGTCTACACTTCCTGAATATAGTCAATCTCCCCCTTGGCTACTCTTCAGGAAGATAGAACTTGGGAAGAGGACTGTGTAGACCTTGGAAGCAGGCTTGGCCTTTGGGGTGGACACATCCCTTGGTTCCATGGACTTAATCACCCCAGGGGGAGAAGCATGGATAGAGAGCCAGAACAGGGCCCAGTGGTTACGTGGGTCTGAGGGTAATATTGCACTGAAACAATGTGTTTTTCCCAGCAAAGGTTCTTTTCTTCAGTCATCAAAGTTCCACTCCAAGGACAGATATATTTATATAATTTATATATAATCTTATACAATAAAAGCCTGATATGCTAAGTGTCCGGTCGTCCGTTCAACCAATCTAAGCGTAATATGTTAGTGATATGCTAAGGCCGCTCAATCACTCGCTATGACATGCACTGACCACCAGGGGGCAGACAGTCGACCGGTCGACCTGTCGCTATGATGTGCACTGACCACCAGGGGGCAGACACTCTGACTGGTAGCTTAGCTTGCTGTTGGGGTCTGGCCTATCGTGACTGAGCGAGAAGGGCCAGACACGCCCTGGAGCCCTCCTGGCTGGCCAACCTCCCGTGGCCCTCCCTAGGCCCGATCGTGCACCGGTGGGGTCCCTCATCCTGGCCTGTACCCTCTTGCAATCCTGGACCTCTTGGGGGATGTTGGAGAGCCAGTTTTGGGCCCCCACTGGTGCACAAATCCGTGCATGGGGTCTCTAGTGTTTATATATTTACTATAGTACATCTACCACTTTTTAAAAAACACGATTAATGGAATATAACATGCACTGTTGCACAAATTAACCTTAGTGTATTTAAACCATCTGTTTATGTATATGTGTGTCATTTCAATAGTTTGTATTTCAAACAGAAATGACTGTACGGAAGTTATTTCATGTGTGCCAATACATTTGTAAATTAAATTCCTAGAGCAGGTTTTTTAAACCTTGGCACCACTGATATTTTGGGCTGGATAATTCTTTGTTGTGAGAGGTCATCCTGTGCATTACAGGATATTTAACTGCATCCCTGACTTCTACTCACCAGATGACAGTAGTACTGTACCCCCTCCTCCAGCTGTGAGTACCAAAATGATCTCCCATCATTACCAAATGTCCCTTGAGGACACATTACACTTTAAAAAAAAATTCTTGAGGATTTAAAAAATATATATTGTTAATCTCTACAGGATAAACTGGATTCTCAATCTCATTGACTCATGTCCTTGAAATGTGAAGCTTTCTTTTTTTTTTAATGAAATAACGTTTATGAAAGTTTTTTGCTATATATTCACTCATTTTTTCCTGAAGGTGATCAATCTAAAAAAAATAGCCGACCTCCAGACCACATTGCATCCTGCTTACTCATGAACTTTCTGGACCATTGCCCACAACCAATCCATAAAGCAACAAGTAGTTCTTCCTTAGGGACTATTCACCTATCCAAGAACTTTCCCCATTTCGCCTTTTCCCACCCGGTCTTATCTATAGGCAGTGTAAATTCATTCAAAACAACTTACATCTTCCCCAAACTCTTTATATAAGACTTGTCTACTCCATCGAGCCCTGCTGCTGGAGGTTTAGACTGCACACCCTAGGCCAGTGATGGTGAACCTTTTGAGCTTGGCGTGTCAGCATTTTGAAAAACCCTAACTTAACTCTGGTGCCATGTCACATAGAAATTTTTTGATATTTGCAACCATAGTAAAAGACTTATACTTTTGATATTTATTTTATATATTTAAATGCCATTTAACAAAGAAAAATCAACCAAAAAAATGAGTTCTTGTGTCAGCTCTGACACGCATGTCATAGGTTCGCCATCACTGCCCTAGGCCCTGGTCCTTTCTCTGGCTAACATGGCTCAATAAACTCTTTCAGGATTACTTTCGGTTTTGAAGAGTTTTAACAACCGGAAGCCTTATCAATAATAATCAGTCGATTAATGGATTTTGTATGTTATGTTTTATTTACTATCTACACTAATAAAAGAGAAACATGCAAATTGGTGTCACACTGCTATGCCCACCAACCAATCAGAGCGACTATGCAAATTAACCCAACAAAGATGGCAGTTAATTTGCATACGCAGGCCAAAGCGAAGACTGAAGGCTCCGGCCGGAGTGAAGACTGAAGACTGAAGAGGCTTGGCTTCTCCGCTGCGGCTGGACCAAAGGCCTGGGTCCTGGGTGCCGGAGGAAAACCGGTGCCAGCAGCCAGGGGAAGGAAGGCCTATTGCACGAATCTTTGTGCAACGGGCTTCTAGTATTCTTATAATAAAGTAAGCTAAAGAAAATATTCTGAAAATACATTCACAGTATTTATTGAAAAATGCCTGTATTAAGTGGACCTGTGCAGTTTAAAACTTGTAACCAATTCTAGACTTAACCACTGAGTGGTCTCTGTGAAGAAATTTGATATTAATGTCTTTTAATCTTTTTATTTCTTGTAGGATAAAGTTCTTTAGGATGGCATGCAAAGCTCTTCAGGATTTGGCCCCTACTAAACCCTGATTCTACTGTCAGGAGCAAGGCTATAGAGTGTTGGCCTTCTCTGGGGTGATTTTCTTGTTCAATCATAGCTCTCTTTCACTCCTTTCCAAATGTTTTTAGAAGTCTTTTCTCTGAGAGAATGTAGTTTCCAGATATCCCTCCATATCCAGCCTGGGTAAAGGCAGAAGAAGGAGGTTAGAGATCCAACTCTTTGGTATTCAGGCTTTCAC